GGGAGACCCTATCTATCCCTACCAAAAGATTCTCTCTGTCTCTCTCTCCTTCTCTCTCTCTCTCTCTCTATCATGTGTATAACTATGTATTTGAGTCCACCTATAACTCTTATCTATCTATCTATCTAATCTATATGTCTAGTGTGTATATATCTATGTATTTGAGTCCACCTATAACTTGTAAGCCCCCACTTCATGACCTCCAGCATTTTGGGGCCAAACCAGTGTATACTTTCCACACATTGATTTATGTCTTTGCCTGTAACTCCTGCCTCCATGAGATGTATAAAACCAAACTATAATCTGACTGCCTTGGGACCACTTACTCAAGGCTTTTTGGGTTTGTATTTTCCTGGGACTGTGGTCACTCATTGGCTCAGAATAAACCTCTTTTTTTTTTTTTTTTTGAGATGGGGTTTCACTCTTGTTGCCCAGGCTGGAGTGCAATGGCACAATCTCGGCTCACCACAACCTCCGCCTCCCGGGTTCAAGCAATTCTCCTGCTTCAGCCTCCCGAGTAGCTGGGATTACAGGCATGTGCCACCACATCCAACTAATCTTGTATTTTCAGTAGAGACGGGGTTTCTCTACGTTGTTTCAGCTGGTCTTGAACTCCCGACCTCCAGTGATCCGCCCGCTTCAGCCTCCCAAAGTGCTGGGATTACAGGCGTGAGCCACCGTGCCTGGCCTAGAATAAACATCTTTTAAGAAATTTACAGAGTTTGATTTTTGTGTTAACAGTTTAAGATTTCATGTATTAGGCTGGGCACAGTGGCTCACGCCTATAATCCCAGCATTCTAGGAGACCAAGGTGGGTGGATCACGAGGTGAAGAGATCGAGACCATCCTGGTCAAGATGGTGAAATCCTGTCTCTACTAAAAATATAAAAATTAGCTGGGCATGGTGGTGTGTGCTTGTAGTCCCAGCTACTCGGGAGGCTGAGGCAGGAGAATTGCTTGAACCCAGGAGGTGGAGGTTGCAGTGAGCTGAAATCGCGCCATTGCACTCCAGCCTGGGTAACGAGTGAAACTCTGTCTCAAAAAAAAAACCAAAAAAAAAAGATTTCATGTATTTATCACAAATTATACTCCAAATCTTTCAGAAGTTGTCTGTCAAAAGAATATTACAATAGATTTACATATCTGTTAAAAGAAAAGCTTCAGACAAATTAATGAAGTTTTGTTGAGCAAAAAACCTTGAAAACATGCCAAGAGAAAGAAGCTAGACATATGAGGCCACATATTGTATAGTTCCATTTATATTTGAAATGTCCAGAATAGGTGAATTCATAGAGTCAGAAATAGATAAGTGGTGTTGAGATGGGGAGAATAGGGAGTGACTTCTGATGGGTTTGAGGTTTCTTTTTAGGATGGTAAGAATGGCCTGGAATTAGGTAATAGGGATGGCTGCACAACACTATGAATATACTGAAAGCTGCCTGTGACATAAGAAGTTTATTTTATTTTATTTTTTTTGAGACGGAGTTTTGCTCTTGTTACCCAGGCTGGAGTGCAATGGCACGATCTCGGCTCACTGCAACCTCCGCCTCCTGGGTTCAGGCAATTCTCCTGCCTCAGCCTCCTGAGTAGCTGGGATTACAGGCACGCACCACCATGCCCAGCTAATTTTTTTGTATTTTTAGTAGAGACGGGGTTTCACCATGTTGACCAGGATGGTCTCGATCTCTTGACCTCGTGATCCACCCGCCTCAGCCTCCCAAAGTGCTGGGATTACAGGCTTGAGCCACCACGCCCAGCCTGACATAAGAAGTTTATATGTGATCTCTGCATAGAGCTTCTAAAACTCTTGTAACTTCTTTTTTTTTTTTTTTGAGACGGAGTTTTGCTCTTGTTGCCCAGGCTGGAGTGCAATGGCACGATCTGGGCTCACCACAACCTCTACCTCCCTGGTTAAAGCAATTCTCCTGCCTCAGCCTCCCAAGTAGCTGTGATTACAGGGATGTGCCACCACGCCCAGCTAATTTTGTATTTTTAGTAGAAACAGGGTTTCTCCATGTCAGTCAGGCTAGCCTTGAACTACCGCCCTCAGGTGATATGCTGCCTTGGCCTCCCAAAGTGCTGGGATTATAGGCGTGAGCCACTGTGCCGGCCTTTTTTAAGGTTTTCATTAAGGCATTTTATAAAGACAACATCTTTTGTTTTCATAAAATGTTTGCTACATATGTGTAATATATATAATATATATGTAAATTTATATATGCTCAGGTTACAAAGCAGAATTATAAAAAGAAACCTGTGAACCCATTATTCCACTTAAGAAATAGAGTATTACCAATGTTGTTGCAATTTTCTGAGAATTCCCTCCTCTTTCTTTCTTTTTTTTTTTTTGACACAGAGTCTTGCTCTGTCACCAGGCGTCTGGCTGGAGTGCAGTGGCGCTATCCTGGCTCACTACAACCTCCGCCTCCTGGGTTCAAGCAATTCTCCTGCCTCAGCCTCCCGAGTAGCTGGGACTACAAGCACGCACCACCATGCCCAGCTAATCTTTGTATTTTTGGTAAGACGGGGTTTCACCATGTTGGCCAGGATGGTCTCAATCTCTTGACCTTGTGATCTGCCCCCCTTGGCCTCCCAAAGTGTTGGGATTACAGGCGTGAGCCACCGCGCCCAGCTCCCTCCTCTTTCTTATCCCTCCACCCCAGCTAATTGCTATCCTGATGTTTATCATTTGTATATGTGTTTTTAAATTAAATTAAATTTTAAGTTCCAAGATACATGTGTAGGACATGCATGTTTGTTATGTAGGTAAACATATCCCATGGTGATTTGCTGCACCTATCAGCCCATCACCTAGGTATTAAGCACAGCATGCATTGGCTGATATCCTGATGTTTTCCCTTCCCCCAGCCCCCTTTCGGTCCCAGTGTGTGTTGTACCCCCCCGCCGTGTCCATGTGTTCTCATTGTTCAGCTCCCACTTATAAGTGAGAACATGCGGTGTTTGCTTTTCTGTTCCTGCATTAGTTTGCTGAGGATAATGGCTTCCAGCTCCATCCATGTCCCTGCAGAGGACATGATCTTGTTCCTTTTTATGACTGCATAGTATTCCATGGTGTACATATACCACATTTTCTTTGTCCAGTGTTATCGTTGATGGGCATTTGTAAAACCCTTATAACTTCTTGAGTGATAGTGACGTCTTGTTATTCATCATAAGTCCCTTTTAACCATACCTCAGTTTATGCCACTAATGAAGTGTGGCTTTTGGAGGATAGGAGCTGGTTATCAGAGAAACCGACCATGTGATTAGAGGGTTGGAACTTGTAGTCCCAACCTCCAGAGAGGGAAGGCTAGAGATAGATTTGATTACAGTTGATCTAAAGGAATAAACTTAGGGAAAAGTTAATAAAAGCGGAGAGTTTACATTTGAACCAAAATGAAGACGGCTTCCCAGAAGACTCACACGCAAGTAACCTTGGATATGAGCTTCGTGCAGCCCTTGTTACAAGCAAGTTTTTAAAGGCAAAAAAGGGGACTAGGCATGGGGCTGATAAAAAGTTGTTTGTCAGGAATTCTCATTGGTTTACAGAAATAACATTGATTAGTGATGGCTATACATTGTTGAATGATAGGGTATGAGTTATGTTGTGGAGCATGCAGTATTGTTAGGTTAATTTTTAGTAACCTGGGGGGCATTCAGTCCAGAGTTCACATAGCAAGCAGTTTCAAGAGATGATTATTTAGCAAGAGGGAGGAAGTGGGATGTGACTGCTGTCTGTTTCTCATGCCTTTTTGGGCCAGATAATTTAGAGGAAACTCGTATTCCTCATATAAAAACATTTCTTTTGATTGTCATTACTAATGGCCAATGATTTAATCAATTATGCCTCAGTAATGAACCTTCATAAAAACCTAAACAATGAGGTTCAGAGAGCTTCCAAGCTGGTGAATGCATCCACACACTGGGAAGGTGACACCTCCCAAACTGCATGGGAACAGAAGCTATGGGGCTTGAGATTC